ATGTTGGCATCTGGGAGTCCAACAAGACCTGCTTCCAACGACCGGCGTGTCATTGTAACGTTTGGATTCTGGGAACCAAAATAAGGCCATTCAACTTCACAAAACAACGGGTGACACGTGTCACCCCCGAAAACCGTGTGTAAGGGAAAACCGGCTCTGGAAGCCAGCAGAAAGCCATTCAACCTCACAAAAACAAGGGGTGACACGGTTCACCCCCGAAACTGTGAGACAAAACCCAATTCTAAAGTTGGGATCCTGGGAGCCAGCATAAAACCACTCAACCTCACAAAAACAGCGGGTCACACGTTTCACTCCCGAAACCGTGTGAGAGAAACCAACTGTAAAAGTTGATTCTGGGAGGCAGCAGAAGGCCATGCAACGTCACGAAAACAACGGGTGCCACGTGGCACCCCCGAAACCGTGTGACAAAACCCTATTGTAAAGTTGGGATTCTGGGAGGCAACGTAAAGACCATTTAACTCCACGAAAAAAAACGGGGGACACGAGTCACCTCCGAAACCGTGTGACAACAACCAATTGTGAAATGGGGATTCTGGGAGACAACATAAGGCCATTCATCTCCACAAAAACAACAGGTGATACGTGTCACCCTGGAAACCGTGTAGTAAGAGAAACCAATTCTACAGTTGGGATTCTGGGAGCCAGCATAAAACCATTCAGCTTCACAAAGACAACGAGTGACAAATGTCAGCGCCGAGCCCGTGTGAGAGAAACCAATTGTGAAATGGGGATGTTGGGCACCATCATAAGGCCGTTCAGCCTCACAAAAACAACTGGTGACACGTGTCAACCCCGAAACCGTGTGAAAAAAATCAATTGTGAAGTGGGGATTATGTGATCCAGCATAATGCCATTCAACCTTACAAAAACAACGTGTGACTTGTGTCACCCCCCAAGACCGTGTGACAAAACCCAATTCTCCAGTTGGGATCTTCGGAACCAACATAAAACCACTCAACCTCACAAAAACAACGAGTCATACGTGTCACTCCCGAAACCGTGTGAGATAACCCAATTGTATAAGAGGGGTTTTAGGACCCAACATGAAGCCATGCAACCTCACAAAAACAACGGGTGACTCGTGTCACTCCGGAAACCGTGTGAGATCAAGTACTTGTAAGGTGGGGTCCTGTGACCCGACATAAAGCTATCCAACCTCACAAAACAACGGGTGGCACGTGTCACCCCGGAAACCGTGTGAGGGAAACCACCGAAACCGCGTGACAAAACTCAATTGTAAATTTGGGATTCTGGGAGGCAACATAAAGCCATTCAGCGTCAGAAAAACAACGGGTGACAAATATCACTCCCGAAACCGTGTAACAAAAACCCCAACTGTAAAGTTGGGATCCCGGGAGGCAACATAAGGCTATCCAACTTCACATCAAAAACAACGGGTGACACGAGTCACCCCCGAACCCGTGTGAGAGAAACCAGTTCTACAGTAGGAATTCTGGGACGCAACATACAGCCATTCAACCTCACAAAAACAACGGGTGACTCGTGTCACTCCCGAAACCGTGTGACAAGACCCCATTGTAAAGTTCGGATACTTGGGATTATGGGAGCCAACACAAGGTCATGCAACTTCACGACAGCAGCGGGTGACAGGTGTCACCACGGAAACCGTGTGAGAGAAACCAATTCTGAAGCTTGAACTCGGGGACCCAACATCATAAGACCATTCAACTTCGCAAAAACAAAGGGTGACACGTGTCACCCCCGAAACCGTTTGAGAAAACCCAATTGAAAAATGTGGATTCTGGGAGCCAACGTAAGGCCATTCAGCTTCACAAAAACAAAGGGTGACACGTGTCACCTCGAAAACCGTGTGAATTCGGAGCCTAGGGCCCAGGAGTCTGGGGTCCAGGAATCTGGCGTCCAGGAGTATAGGGGCCAGGAGTCTAGGGCCCCGGATTCTAGGGCCCAGGAGTCTCAGGCCTTAGGGTCTAGGGCCGAGGAATCTAGGGTCTTGGAGTCTAGTGTCCAGAAATCTAGCGCCCTGGGGTTCGGGCCGAGTAATCTACGGCCGAGGAGACTAGGGGTTGGAACTCTGGGGTCGTTGCTTCTAGGGCCCAGGACTCCAGAACTCTGGAATGTATGGCCGAGGAGCCCTTGGGTCTTGAACGCAGAGCTCTACGACCAGAGCCATGGAGTCTGGGGCCCAGGAGTCTAGGGCCCAGGAGTCTAGGGCCCAGGGGTATAGGGTATAGGGCCCCGGTGTCTGGGGCCCGGGGGTCCAGGGCCCTGGATGTCTAGGGCCCAAGAATCTAGGGCCCGGGAGTCGAGGGCCCAAGCGGGGGAAAAAACAACGAAACGAAAAACGAAACGAACGCCCGGAAACCATAGCCAAGGCGAGAGGGGACAGAAACGAAACGAAACATGAAACGAGAACTTGAAACGAGCACCCGATCGATTGCTGAGGCTACGGCAGGGGCTGGGACCCAGGCTGATGATCAGGCCAGGAGTACAACAACAATAACGGGGGGGAGACAAGGACATGAAAAACGAAACGAACGCCTGGAAACTGAGCCCGGGCGAAGGGCGACAAAAACGAAACGAACAACGAAACGAACAACGAAACGAAACGAAACGAACGAGCATAATTTATGGCTGGGGCTACGGCAGAGGCTGGGGCCCACGTTGAAGCTCTGGCCAGGAGCGCAACAAAAATAACAGGAACAACAACAACAACAACAACAACAACAACAACGAAACATAACGAAACGAAACGAAACGGAACACAAAACGAACGCCCCAAAACTACGGCTCAAGTGGAGGGACTAATGTTCGGCCTCGAAACACACCGAATACAAGAAACAACATCGACAACAACACGAGACAAGAAACGGAACATGAAACCATAAACAGCATCTTTAAGATGCTGTTTATGGTTTCAAAAGACGACGGCGGCACGAAACGAAACGAACAACGAAACGAATCACGGACTAAACCGAAACAAACAACATGAACAACGAAACGAAACCTTGGAATCGCGGCGAAACAAAACGGACAACGAAACGGGCGCAGGATAAACGTTTAACATTCAAACGCGTTTAAGAACATAACGAATAACACAACTGACACACAACAAACAAAAACCACGAAACACTACATGAAAGCCAACACCAAACTAAACATCGTTGTGGCCGGTCCACGTCGGAATTGGAACCACAATCTGCCGCGGATGCGTATCAAAAACTGGTCCCTGCACACTGTACCACATTCAGAGGTCTCATGGTGAGCCGGGGGTGTTGACAAAACAACTTGTCCGCTGCAACTGCAGAGTTCCTGCTTGTGTGCGGCACACGTATGTGTATCTCGTACCGTACCTGTGTGTCCTGAACCGTTGTGTGGTCAGAGCGTCACATTGCCAGAAATCCTCCTTCTCCTCCTCCTCCTGCTCCTCCTCCTCCTCCTCCCTCCTCCCTCCTCCCTCGTCCCTCATCCCTCCCCCTTCCTCCCTCCTCCCTCCTCCCCCCCCTCCCCCCTCCCCCCTCCTCCCTCCTCCCTCCTCCCTCCTCCTCCTCCTCCTCCCTCCTCCTCCCCCCTCCTCCCTTCTACCTCCCTCCTCCATCCCCCTCCTCCCTCCCTCCCTCCCTTCCCCCCCTCCCCCCTCCTTCCCTCCCTCCCTCGCGCCCTCCTCCCTCCCTCCCTCCTCCCCTCCCTTCCCCCCCCCCCCCTCCCTCCCTCCCTCCCTCCTCTCCTCCCTCCCTCCCGCCTTCTCCTCCTCCTCCTCTTCCTCCTCCTCCTCCTCCTTTTCCTCCTATTCCTCCTCCTCCTCCCTCCTCCGCCCTCCTCCCCCTCCCTCCTCCGCCCTCCTCCCCCCTTCTGCCTCCTCCTTTTCCTCCTCCTCCTCCTGCTCATCCTCCTCTTCCTCCTCCTCCCCCTCCTCCTCCTCCTCCTCCTCCTCCTTCCTCCTCCCTCCTCCTCCCTGTTCCTCTTCCTCATCCTCCAAATCCTCCTCCTCCTCTTCCGCCTCCTCCTGCTCCCCCTCCGCCTTCGCCTCTTCCTCCTCCTCCTCCTCCTCCTCCTCCTTCTCCTCCGCCTCCTCCTCCTTCTCCACCTCCTCGTTCTCTCCCTGCTCATCCCTCCTCCCTCCTCCCCCTCTCTGCTCCTGGAAAGGCAACAGAGGCAAGTCCGCTTGGTGCAGGAGGCGTCTAGGAAATCCCTTGGAGCAGAGGCCGCAGGACACCCTCACCTGCGTCATGAAACATTACAGGATCCAGAAAGTGAAACGCCTGTCGAGATACACAGGTGAGTTGTGGGACCTCACAACATACACACTTTGAACCTCCTGCCACCACCACCTGCATATCCCGATTGCCAATTCAAAGTCAGGGGTCGTAGACACAGGTCAGCGTCACTTCTTGCTGTGACCTCCATCGAGCCAAGGAGACCGCCCAGAAGAGCCACAAACGACACCCAAGAGTCCAGGACGGGGCTAGGACGAGGATACATCCGTTCCATTCAAAACGCTCTCAGAGCGTTCTGAAACGCTCTGAGAAAGCCGCGACGCCCGATACGTCCTCCAGAGCCGCCGAATCAATGATTCTCGATGTATCCTCACCCGATGTTACCCTCGTCCTGGCTGCGTATGACAGTCCCCGAACATTCTCGGCGTTCGACCCCGGGAAGCCGCCCGGGCGTCAAAACAACAACGCAGGGCCGCGGCACCGCGATCCACCCTGCGAGGGCCTGAGCCTGTACGGAATACGCGCCGACCCAGAAACAAACCATTGACTACGCCACGAATCTATATATATATATATACATATATATATATACATATAGATATACGTACAGACGCCCTCCGATGAACTTCGCATGTACCTTCAGGGAAGGCAGCGGTGTAGAAAGTCGGTGACTCTCTGTACACTGCTACCCTCCCACGAGGCCCAGGAACAATCCATTGGGCGGTGTATGTACATTTTTTGTGGCGGATCGACCATCCTCGGCCCTCGACCCCCGAGGGGCGCCCGGCGCTGCCAAGGCCAGCAGGCCACGGCGCATCGGCCTGCACTCCGAGGCCCTCGAGCCCCGAGACGGCCGCCCGGCGCGGAGGCTCGCAGGCCGCGGCGTTTCGGGCCCGCTCCAGGGTCTGAGCCCGACACGGACGACGCGCCACTGCCGCCCGCCAGGGCTGCCGCGACCATGGTGCGGGACGCGCCCGCGCGCGTGCGCGCGCGCAAGCCCGAGCGGCCGTGCCCGCTGCAATGGAGAGGGACCAAGAGAGACTCTAGCACGCACGTGCCTGACGCGAGGGTTCACGAAATGAGGCAGCAGTTTGCGAATCGGGGTCTTGTGTCGCACTGTATCCTTGATCCCACACTGAACGCTACGATGGTGATGATGAGGGTGACGAGGGGAGGGGAGGAGGAGAGAAGGGAGATTAGGATGCGAGGGGAGAGAACGGGGAAGGAGTGGAGAGAGGAGGAGAGGGAGGAAGAGGAAGAGGAGGAGAAGGAGGAGGAGAAGGACGAGAAGGACAAGGAAAAAGAGGCGAGAGAGACATCCGGAAACCCTCGACATCAACCGCTCAAAAATCTGAATCCGAAAATATCGATCCTGGAAACCGCGACGAACAGCACAACTGAACACGCGCCCCCCAACCCAGCCTCCTCCTCCTCCTCCCTTTCTCACGCACCCCCTCCTCCTCCCTCTCCTCCTCCCTCCTCCTCCTCCTCCTCCTCCTCTTCTTCTTATCATTATTCGGATTATTTTTATTCGTATCATTATTACAATTATTATTATTATATATATGTGTATGTCATATTAGTTTTCCTCGTATTATTCTTATAATCCGTATTAGTATTAGTAGTCATATTCGTATCATCAGTATTCCTAGTCTTTTCTGTACTACGATTAGTACTATCATTTGTATTCATATCATTATTATGGATAGTCCTATTTGTATGTTTGTTATTCGTGGTTTTATTCAAAGTATCAATACCATTAGTCATATTAATATTATTGCTACCACCATTATTATACTATTCCTATGTATCCCTCCTCATTAGTTTTATGATTCTTCTTCTTATGAATATTATTACCAGACGTATTATGATTATTAGTATGCATCCTCTTCTCATTATTATTCGTAGTATCCATAGTCTTCTCATTATTCTAATCTTCGTCTTTTTCATCATGCTCCTCTTCATATTCCTCTTCCTATTCCTCTTCCTCTTCCTCGCCCTCTTCCTCTTATTGTGATTATGGGTATGCTGACTATTCTTATGCTTCAGCTTATGATTAAGTTTCTGCTTCTGTTGTTGCTGCTGATTCGTCTGCTTATTCGTGTCCTCCTCCTCCTCCTCCGCCCTCCTCCTCCCTCCCTCCCTCCCTCCCTCCCGCCTCCTCCTCCTCCCTCCTCCTCCTCCTCCTCCTCCCCCTCCTCCTCCTCCTCCTCCTCCTCCTCCGCCTCCTCCCCCTCCTCCTCCTTTTCCTCATGTTCCTCCTCCTCCTCCTCGTCCTCCTCCTCTTCCGTCCTCCTCGTCCCCGTCCACCCCCTCCCCATCTGCCTCCTGATCCTCCGCCTCCTCCTCCTCCTCCTCCTCTTCCTCATTATCCTCTTCCTCCTCGTCGTCGTCCTCCTCCTCTTCCTCCCTCTTCGTTCGTTCGCTCTCGGCCCTGGTGTCGCGCAGACGCGGCCACCTTTCCTGCCCCGTCCCACGGCTTAACCCTGCGGGGCGGGGGGGCGCATTCGGGGGAAGGTGAGCACACTGCAAAGACGGGGTGGGTGAAAAACACGAACGTGGAGGGGAAAAGTAGAGAGCGCCTGGACAGCACGGCGCGGCGGTCTAGTTAGCGCGGTGGGGGAAGGCCAAGGAGGCCCGCGACCAGGGACCCGGAAAAAACAAAGGGGGGAAAACGGCCAGGAGGAGAACAACCAAACTGTAGGCATCCGCATTTAGACCGAGGCAAAGTGAGGAGAGACATCAGGTATGACTGGGGGGAGGAGAAGGAAGAAGCGGAGGTAAGTGGGCAGATGGGAGCGCGGGGCCATAGGCCAGGGGTTAGGGAACGCGTGGTGTAGATGAGCGCACTATTGTTGTCGTAGTCCCTGCTGTTGGACATGAGGGTAGGCATCCCTTCTTGTTGGTACTCTGGCGGGGCATCGCTCCGCATCTTACGTGGGATTTGCGTTGATGGCTGCGACACGTTGTTGGTCAGCGTGACCAAAGTATTTAACTCCGCTGGCGCAGTAGAGCTCGACCTCGTTGAAACCGATGAACTCCGGAAGCTCACAAAAGACTTCTGCAACTATCCAGATGTCTTCGCCTGGATATTCTTGGGGTTGGGTGATCCGCTGAGGCTGGAAATCAAGCGGGGGCGCCATGGCGCACTGCGCTTGGCAAAGCGTTGCGCCAGGGGCGCGCTGGATTTGAACCGAAGCTGGGCTACGGTTGGTGGGATGTGCATTGGTTTTCTTGGTGATGCGATGAGTGGTGGCAGCCTTTTTACAGGGTGAGCGATCGGGCGCCACTGCGAGGCGTGCCAGAACCAATGCTGAGGCAACAATCCGTATCCAATGCTGGCTTGATTCAGGGCGGGGTTTTCGGACTCAACTGACCCAACTTGTTTTTGCATCATCGTCATCATCATCGTCATCATCGTCGTCATGATATTCATCATCGTCCGCGTCATCGCCAACATCATCACCATCTCCTCATCATCGTCATCATCATAATATCCATCATCATCTCCTCGTCATCGTCATCAGCATGTAGCGATGATGATGATTAAATCAAGACCCGCATGACGATGATGGCGGCGTGAACATGTTGATGCTGATGATGGTGATGATGACGATGATGACGAAGCCGATGATTGCGATGATGGTGGCGATGAAGATGATGATTTCGGACTGCGCGGGCCGTGCTGAGTACTAATCGGAAAGCCCCACAACCTCCGTGGAAGCGGGCCACCGCATTTCGTCAAGCGCCTCCGTGAGGTCGGGCAGCGCCACGGGGACCCGCGCCAGATGATCGGCCACGACGTGGTTCACGACGTTGAAGAACTCCTTCGGGTCAGGCGCGGCGTCGATCCTGCGCGCCCTGAACTCCCGAAAGACGTCGGAGCGGATCATGGCGGCGATCTGCAGCCTGCTGTCGTCTACGCGCTGTTGCAGCTCGTGGTGGGGCGCGAAACAGTCCTGGCAGTCCGCGGAGGCGTGGCGGTGCACGTTGTGCTCGAGGGAGGCCAGGGTGCCCATGTAGAAGGACCCAAGCTTTTGCTCGAGGGTGACGACCCTTCCGCAGGAGGCTGTGCTCGAGGGTGACGCCCCATCATGTGCTCCGAGGACCCCTGGGATCCTCACTTGCACGGAGCGCGCCCCGAAAATCGTCACGGCCGCGTGCAACAGGGAGCATCCGCCATCTGCGTGCCAACCATCGTCCCGCGCGCCTGGTTGCATGAGCTGGATCGATGCGTACGCGAACGCGTTGTCGGCGAAGTGCTCTGTCATGATGGGCTTTCCGTTCTGCTCGACGATGGCAGGTGGCATACCGTCGGCTTTGACAGCCTCGCGCATTTTGTCTCCCAGCTGTTGCAGCCACGGGCGCATCTTCTTCCGCAGCGCTCGCACGAAGGCGGCCATGTGGGGCGAGGGGGTGATCTGCAAATTCCCGTCCTTGTTGAGGCTGCGGCACTTCGGGGGGCTTTCGTCGTCCACGATGCCTGCGACCTCTGTTTTCAAGCCCTTTGCCGCCTCGTCGCCTCGGACGCATTTGGAGACGGTTGCCCCCGTGTCCAGGCGCTCCTCGGCCAAGTTCTGCCAGCACGGGTCTCTCTGCAAGAAGCGGAGCAAGTCTGGGTCCAGCTCCGCCTCCGCTATCGTGCCCGTGCCGTTTTTTCCCTGCGCCATGGAGATGCGCACGACGAGCTGGGCGCCAGCCGGCTGCAGGAAGCGACGAGCCCTTAGACGACTGATTGTCGCTCTGGCGCCAGGGTGCCAAAGCAGGCAGCTCTCGGCGGCCTTCAACAAGTCTGGGGGGCAGTCTGCAAGTTCGTCAACGGGCCAGCGTCCTCGGCCGTCGAGTGCCTTCGCTGTTTCAGCCTTTAGCCAATCCTCGCCCGACCGCTTGAACCACTTCTCAAAGAAAGGCAGGTTGTCCAGCCACGGGGCGGGTTCCTGGTCCTCGTAATTGTAGAAGTCTCCCGACCCTGGCTCCTTGCCTGGGATCCCCAAGACCTCCCTGCAGAAAACCACGAAGTCTTTCGGGTGCCCCCCTGGATGCCCGAGCGCGCCGCAAGGCTCTGGTTGGAACAACACCTTGCGCGTGTACAACTCCGCCATCAGGCACCCGATGGACCACATGTCCAGGTCCTCTGAGTAGCGCTGGTTCCCCAAGAAAACGTCTACCGCTCTGTAAGCGGGCGTGCATACTCCGAGGTCATCGCAGGTCGGGCTGTAGCGCAGTTTCTTCTTCAACCTGCCGTGGGGATCCGCCATCTCCACACAGCCGAGGTCGCCGAGCACCACCTGCGGAGAGGGGCGGATGGAGGAGAGGGGAGCGACGGCGACTGAGCTCCCCCTGGAGGGAAGGGCGGGATAGAGGGCACGACGACGGCATCTCGGGGGAAGGGTGGAACCTCCCTTGTTAGAACTCGGTGTGAGACCTAACATGAAGGCTAGTGAGATAAGCTGAGCTCTGACCTCGTATATGAGGGCGTCGTCGGAGCTCTAACATGCTATGTTAGAGCTCCATGGGAGCTCTAACACGCTATGTTAGAGCTCCATCGGAGCTCTCACATGCTATGTTAGAGCTCCCTGGGGAGATCTGACATGCTAGGTTAGAGCTCCTGTTAGAGCTCCCGGGGAGCTCTAACATACTATGTTAGAGCTCCATGTGAGCCCTGACAACTCGGGATCTTAGTCGAAGGAACGACGATGATGACGAGGATGACGACGACGACGACGAGGATGACGAGGATGACGATGATGACGAGGACGACGAGGACGACGACGACGAGGACGAGGAGGACGACGACGAGGACGACGAGGATGACGAGGATGACGAGGACGACGAGGACGACGACGACGAGGACGAGGAGGACGACGACGAGGACGACGAGGACGACGAGGACGGCGAGGACGACGAGGACGACGAGGACGAGGAGGACGAGGAGGAGGACGACGACGACGGCGACGACGACGTCGACGA